GGGTGCTCTGGGGTGGTTTGCTCCTTCTTTCATATAAAAAATCTATTGTCCTGATCTCCCCTCCTTCTTGTTTGTGTTTGTTACTCTCTTATATCACGTCTAATCTTCGGCACTTATATGACCTTTTTGTGTTGCAAGTGCCGTAAAACCTTACTAAAACTAAAAACCTTCTAGTAACACCTCTATTCTTGGGCAATTATAGGACCTAATTTGGTTGTATGCGTCTTAGAATTCTCACCAAAACTAAACTAAAGTGATTTAGTGTACAGAGGAGCCCGCTTACACCGAACACGGTTAATCCCAAAACAGCAGTAAAAGGGGAAAAAATGAAATCCTTTAAAGACTTAAAACCCACCTAAACCAAAGAAAATCCGGCGGTCTCATACATTCCGATTGTAGCGGACTCTGCTGTATTTTCTCACAACGTTTTTGGCTCGCAAAATTTTGATTTAATTCCTTAGCCACTAACTGGACATTTGGAAAAGAGTACCGTACCTCCTTCTCCTGTTAAAGTTTTAAGTCCAGTTCAGGTCTCGTTTCGGAACTAGCTTCACCTATCAAGCACATTCGGGCTCTCCGCTCTCTCCGGGGGCCAATATTATGCGGGTAGTCATGACGTCATGCCAGAAAATGGATTTTAAAAGAAGGAAGAGCTCTACTGGATCCCTGTACCCTTTGCCGAATTTTCATTAGCGGGGGTTTCGGCCTGGTTTCAGATTTTAAAAAAATTAACGAGAAATTGGCTGCCAAAGTTTGGTGACTTCCAAAACTCTAATGTAGCGTCTTTGGAAACCACAAATTTACATATTTTTGGGGCATTTGCTCGTTTTTTTCCAGAAAAATCCACCCGAGAGTGTTTTTTAAAATGGACAAAAAAGGTCTAGGGCCTAGAAGAAAAAATGCCAGGACAAAATGATTTCTTTGTCGTCGTTGTTGGGAGGAGCACCTGTTTTCACCACAATGCCTCACAATTGCTCATTAGGAAACGTTGGTGAATAAATGTTTTGATTCGCAGACCTGTCCCCGTAGTTTTATGTACCCCACATAATTTAGCAAAATTTGATAATTTTTTGCATAATTTCTGATTATTTTCATTATATTATTCTTTTTTTAAATCAACAAAATCGCATAATTTCACATTTTTGGGCTCAGTTTCCATAATTTCATAATTATTTTGCATAAAACGGCGGGACAGGTAGACTCGTACATTGTACAGATGTCGGCACATCCAATGACTAGATGCTGCCGTAATGAGTTTTTTTTTGTTTTGTTTTGGTAGGTTTGTTTTCCTCATGCTGCTTGCCTGTACTACAACTGCTTTCGCATATTATTATAATGAAATCTACATTCTTGTCTGAACATATTAAAATGGTGGGTAATTCATGATTGTAGCTTGAATCCTATTCTTTTTTACATTGAAAATGTCAACGTTTACATATTTCGAACTAACTTTAAAACAAAGAAAGACTCTAGCGCTCATATGGCCTTATGCAGTTGCGAGCACCGTAAAACCTCTACTAAAACAGAACAAAAGATAGACTTACGATTTTTAAAAGTTCAACTTAAATATTTTCTTTCCCTTCCAGCAGCTGGCCCCGAGTGTGGTGTACGGACAGGAGCCTTGGGCCTCCCACAGACCCGTGGAGTTCTCCTCTCAACACCCGCTAGTTCTAGGAGCCGACTGTAGCGCTGAGAGACCCTGTGTCTTCTACACCTCTCCAACCATCCTTGTATTGTACGTGACTGGACAGATCTCTCTCTCTCTCT